GTGGTGCCAGGGTTGTACACACGGTGGTCACGTTGTTCACATGAACGAATGGTTCAGTTGTAATCGGCAATGTCCTACAGGTTGCGGTCATATGTGCGAATACACTTAAAGATATTACGGTGATAACGATTACAGTGTTCCATAGATTTCGTAAGTGTTAAAAATATAGAAACGTTATGAAATACCAAATGTATATAAAAAGATTAAATTATTTATTAATTATATTTTTCTAAGTTGTATAATAGGGATTGAAACGCGCGCGTAAGTAATTATGTATATTGTATCTTCAGTTCTGAAAAATATCACATTTTTTCGCTGAGATAAATTGTAAAAAAAAATACATTTACATTTAAAATACTTGTTCCTGCTTTCAGCAGCTTTATCCTTAAACATCTCTATTTTGTTACTGTTTTGTATTTCAAGTATTTAATAATGATCGATAAAAAATGTTATAAAATCTTGTAAGTTTTTACAAAAAAAAAAAATAAGTAAAAACAAATTTAACATGGAATATTCTAACTATTCTTTTCATTGATTTTCGTTATAACGCTTTTTACTTCAGTATACGCTTCAAGGCCGTATTGTCCGAGTTCTCTTCCGTGTCCTGACATTTTGAAACCGCCAAATGGTGTTTGAGGTGTTAGAACGTTGTATGTGTTAACCCTATAACATGTATCGAATAATAAAAAAACAGAAAAAAACATTGTACACATTTCTTAACGTACCATACGGTGCCAGCACGAAGTCTTTGTATAACATAATTTGCCTTATCGATATCTTTCGTAAACACTGCTGCTGCCAATCCGTAATCAGTAGCATTAGCACGTGCAATAACTTCGTTTAAACTACTAAATTTCAGGATTTGTTGAACTGGTCCGAAGATCTGCAACAAATATCAGTATGTTATAATGGAAATATTAATATTTGCCTTCTGCGATTTATAAAAATCTACTATATTAATTTGTATTTACCTCCTCCCTAGCAATAGTCATATGATCCTCAACATTGGCAAATACCGTGGGTGCAACAAAGTAACCTTTGTCACCCACCTTCGTACCACCGGCAAGCAATTGCGCTCCTTGATTTTTGCCCAATTCGATCATGGATATGATTTTGTTCGTTTGTTCCTCGTCGATCTGTTCATGCGAAAGCGTTATAAAATTTAATTTATGTATATGTAGATCTGGTTTTATATAGAATAATTTATTACATACCTGTGGACCTTGTTCTACATTTTCATTAAACGGATCGCCAACTACTCTGGATTTTGCGCGTGCTGCACTTCGCTGCACAAACTCGTCATAAATGCTGTCGTCAACGAAAGTTCTCGAACCGGCGCAGCAACACTGACCCTAATGAAAATAAACGATCGGTACAATGCATCTACAGGGAAAGAGATTTCGTTTTGGAATTTGGAGAAACTACGGCCAATTACCATGTTGTAAAACAATGCGAAGTGAGCTGTTTCCACAGCATGATCAAGATCCGCGTCACGCAGGATTATATTTGGAGATTTTCCGCCAAGTTCCAACGTGGTCCTCTTCAAATTGCTCATCGCGGCGCCTTGTTTTATCAGCTTTCCAACCTCGGTGGAACCGGTAAACGCTATTTTATCGACTAAATCATGGGCGACCAGCGCAGCACCTGTTTTACCATCACCGGGGACGACATTGATCACTCCTTCAGGAAATCCAGCATCTTTGGACAATTGAGCTACGTACAGAGCTGTTAAAGCCGTTTGCTCAGCCGGTTTCAATACGATAACATTTCCTGCAAATCATCAGTTGTTATGTAATAGACGTGTTAGGCAATAGTTACAGTGAATATAAATGTCTAAAGACTGCGATACATATATTAAACGCATTGAATTAATATAACCTTAGGTGTGAATGGAACTTAAACATTTTTTTTTTGACCAGTCAATTCATATCCATTACGGCTATTATTGAACAATTAGATATTCACATGTAATTGAAGTAATATTATTCGATTATATATACCGGTAGCCAGAGCAGGTCCCAACTTCCAAGCCATCATAAGAAGGGGGAAATTCCATGGAATAATCTGACCGCAAACGCCAACTGGCTCGTGACGGGTGTATGCCAGATATTTTCCATCGATGGGAATAACTTGGCCATGATTCTTATCGGCCCATCCTGCGTAATATCGCAGTGTCGCTATACTTTGAGACACGTCGAACTCGTAAGCCGACGAATAAGGTTTCCCATTGTCTAGCGTTTCTAAAGACTGAGGCATACGGAGCATTCAAGTTTTATCAGTATTTATCATATTTTTATCGGTATTTGCTTACTATCTGAGAATGGTATTTCATTCTTACAGCGAGATAAGTGTGATTCTGTTCTATTAAATCGGCCAATCTGTTCAATAGTCTACCACGTTGCGAAGCGTCCATGGTTCTCCATGGCGAGCCAAATTTAAATGCTTTGTTGGCTGCTTGGACGGCTGCATCGATGTCCGCGGCACCACCTTCCTGGACTTCCGCGATCGTTTCGCCAGTTGCAGGGTTTACCGTAGGAAACGTTTTCCCAGATTTCGATCGGTGCCATTCATTGTCGATGAAAATCTGCAATTATAATGTCACACGAATAAATTTCCATAAAATAACACGTCGTAGAGATGTGGATAACGTTATTTTAAAAAAACATATGTGATTTAGCAATGCAAATTACTCTTCATACGAAGAAATGGAAAAAAATGGAAATGATATTTCAAAGATTTTTGTCCAGTGGCTTATATACGTACACACTGTAAATACAGTGGATTTTTTTTTTTTTTTGCAAAATAATTGTATAGGATTGTACAAGCAAATATATTTATACATCGAGAAAAATTGGGAGTGCTGCGGTAATGCCGTCACTCTCATAGAAATCCATAAGTTATTTAGCATTTTCTAATTTTAAATATGATATTTATAAAGATAAATAAGTCTAATCTGATTTTATAAATCATGTTATAATTTTATTAAAATAGAGCTATAATATATTCATTTTATACGTTCAAAATATATTAGCTTTTCTTACAACAAATATTAATTATGAACGTGTTGATCATATGATGATCGACCAAGATAAATTATGGAGGCATAAACCGATTGTGCAAACATATACAAAAAAACATCGTATCAATGTATTTAAAAAAATGTGGTATACACAACGTGACATAGATAAGTAATCAAACTTCCAAGAAAGTAAAAATTCCAAACGTGCTAGTGAATAATTGACATAAATTATCAATGATCAACTATCGTAATGAATTGCACGATGTTTTTATATTTGCTTGAATTATGCACGCAAAATAATAATTAACAAAGCTATCTAATTTCTGAATAATTATATATAAATATTATATATAAGTAAAGAGATATAACGAAGAATGTGTATTCGTGTGCCTCGATTAAATCTATCTTCGTTCAATTTTAAAACTGATTCCAAAACAAATCTTCTGCCTTTGACCTTCACAACAGACCTCGGAACATTTGAATAAACTCGTTAAACCTGTGACGAACATTCGTTCAAATAGACAATGATCATCGACTGTTACAAGTAAAAAAAAGTACATAAAAGTTTTCAAAAATTGAACAATACGTGTACATATGTACTTACATATATTTCTCGAGATGTAAATATGAGACTCGATAAGAGACAATACTTACTCCTGTGTAAAGTATTGCAGGATTCCTCTCTGGTTGCGCTCTAGCAGCAGTTGATAAATACCGTGATAATTGAACGTTTTTCAATAATCTTAACATTGTTGCTTTTTTTTTTTCTAGTTAATTTTTTTCAGTTAATACAACTAGATCCGACACGTACACTAGTGGAGAAGCTACTGCTTCTTGTCGGCATTGGTACAGTGCTCGAGTTCGAGGTTAGTTACGTAGTTGGCTGCGTGAAGCAGATTTGCACATGCGCATTAGTCTTTTTCTTTTTTAACCTTAAGAATCACCGTATATATTCAATTTGAAGATAAGTTTGTTTTAAAGAAAACATGTCCCGTTATCGTTTCGCCGGTATTATAAGAACATAACGAAGAGTATATATGTGTACATGTTATCATTTTAATCATACTAGGCTTTTTTTTTTTACGTAGAGGAAATCTTCATAAGACACCTGAGTCTTTTTAAGGGAAGATCCATAGTGTCGGATTCTTACCGACTAAAACCTCCACGATGGCCGTCCTCCGCACGTTGGGAGAACTCCGGGACCTTTTTTATACACACAGAGCTCTCCTGTGCTGTTGTCCTAAAGGAGAGCTCTTTTCTTTTTTTTCTTTTTCGCCCGAACAGGGGGCCC